AAAAAAACCAAAAAAAAGATTTTACCTCCGGTAAGATTTTTTTTAAAAACCAACATTACCACATATAAATAAATATATGGGTCATGCTTGCAACAAAACTAGACAAAATAATATAAAAATCAAAAATCAAAATTGACTTTGAATTCCTTTAATTAATTTAATATTTTTCTTGTTTATTAATGTGTACAAATAGTTACCAAGTCATATCAGTTGTTAGATAGAATTACCGACTGGTTGACTTATAATGTAATAGACTTTATTTAATATTTAATATATCATATTTATTTTAAGGCGGGGAGTACATTTACGAGACCGATAGATTTACATAATTGATTAATAATACTGGTAATTCATAAATAAATAAATATCTTTGGGTCAAGCACCATAAATCACATGATTAAAAGGGACTGTCAAAAATTTAGATCCCCGTAATTTATTAGCGTTAACGTAATAGTAAGAAATCAACGGAATCAAATCCAGTGCAAACGTTCAATCTCTATTTCAGGGTTAATTGTTGATCATGACGGGAAGGGAGGAGAAAAGTCAACATGGCATGTTGATGTTGAGATAGAATTTTGTGATGATGATGATGCTGATTTTGAAAAAACCATTTGTGTTAGCTGTTTTGACATTTTATATAACTCTGACACTCTTGAGTGTTTTCTGCCTATTTGTGAAAAGATTCGAGCACATAATTATATAATTAAAGACTTTAATTTGGCAATTACATTGCCATCAGGTCTTTTAGTAAAAGAACACTCTGTTGAAGTTTTTATCAAGGAAAAGCTCAGGTATAGTTATTTATATTAATGTTCATTGATATATTTGACGTTCAAATTATAATTATAACTTTATATTTAGAGAAAAAAATATCGAAGTTGCATTTAGTTTAGTTACAAATTTAAAAGATGCTTTTAAATGTTTGTTAGGATGGTCAATTGAAAAACAATTAGAATTAGAATATCGTACCGAAAGCCCATTTAAAATAACAGTTGAATATTTTCACGAAGAATCACAAAAAAATCATACATTTCTAACAAAAATACCTTCAGCAGAATTTAATATAAAAAAGAAAAAGTCAAACACAATAATAATCTCTTTTGGCAATTTTTTTTTTTTTATTAAAAAAAAAAAAAAAAAAAAAAGAAAAATAATTTTTTTTTTTTAATCA